TTACTTTTACTAAGTCTCTTTACTTCCCTATAACTATCTAAGAAAATTACTAGTATATTCTAAGTATTACGTTAATAGAACCTTAACTAACATTATTAGCTGATTTTCGTTTATATATAAACATAAAACCTAGTTATATCTACTCTTTTTATAAAAAGACTAACTTTTCTTATTTTCTACTTTTTAACTTAATATAACGTTAAGGTTAAGCTTACTTATATATAGCCTAAAAAGTAACAGTTAATTATAACTATTTCTACTTTTTTTTATTTTAAATTAGCTTAGGTTATTTTTGTTTTAATATAACTAATAAGATTAAATTTATTATAAAGAAAATAAATAATAACGTTTATATTTACTAAGTACTAGTTATTTATAAGGTAAATATAACTTAAAAAATAAGGCTAATAAAAGGCTAACATATATATATATTTTTAAGCTACTAAATAGTTTAAATAACTCTTAGTTATAAATTAAAAGTTACTTTAAAAGTATACTACTAAAAACAATATCTTTTAACTTAAAGAGGTATAATCTCTGTTTCTAAGCAGCTATTATCTAGCTTTACTACCTATGTATTTATACGTAAATACGTTATAGATAGTAATAGTAAACGCTAACTATCTACTCCTTTAATATAACCTTTAATATAGTTATTTACTTAAACAAATTATTTACTTTTCTTATTATTACTTATATATACTTACCTTTAAATAAGCTAAGTATATAGTTATACTTTAGTACTTATAGTATATAAATCAGCTTATATATAGCCTAGAAAACAAGACTAGCTAGACTAAGTAAATATAAATAAGAGAACAAGGTTAGTAATAGGCTAGGTAAGTATAGCCTAAGAAATAAAATTAATAATAACTATTCTTACTTTAACAAGAGATTAGCTTAGGCTTACTTTTACCTTAATATAACTAATAAGACTAAATAGACTATAAAGGAAGCTAATAAAAACCTTTATATTTACTAAATAACTAGTCCTAATCTTAAGGGCTAGCTGCTAATCTAGAGGCAGGTACAGCCTAGAGGGACAAGGCTAGCAACAAGCTAGGCAGGTACAGCCTAGAGGGACAAGGCTAGTAACAGGTTAGGCAAGTGCAGCCCGGGAAACAACGTCGGCAACAGCCATCCCTGCCTTGATAAGAGATCAGCCCAGGCCACCTCTACCTTAACGTAACTGATAAGGCTAAATAGGCTGTGGAGGAAGCCGGCGAAAACCTTTATATCTACCGAACAGCCGGTCCTAATCTTAAGGGCTGGCCGCCGATCTAGAGGCAGGTGCGGCCCGGGAAACAACGTCGGCAACGACTGTCCCTGCCTTGATGAGAGATCAGCCTAGGCCTGCCTTCACCTTAACTCAACCGATAAGGCTAAATAGGCTGTAGAGGAAGCTAGCAAAAACCTTTATATCTACTAGATAGCTAGTCCTAATAGTAAAGGCTACTTATTATAAGTAAAACTAGTAATAGGCTAAGTAAGTATAACTAAAAGGATAAGATTAATAACAATATATAAACATTAGACCTTAGACTTAGCTTTTATTTATATATAAATAGAAAAAAGTCTAGTAATAGTTAACGTAGATACTATAGTAGTCTAAGCTTATAGGTTTATATATAAATAGAAAAAAAAAGAAAAAAAATCGAGTAATAACAAATAGTTAGCGTAGATAGATAGATAAACAGATACCAAGGTGGTCTAAGCTTATACGTTTACATGGAAGCAGAAAGACCTTGATAAACCCCCGAATACCTAACCCGACATGACCTATATGATGAGCAAGACGAGCCGAAGGGGGCGGCGCCCAGAGAATATGAATGGTCTTTCAGACTGGCATCTCTCGCCGAGCTCCTCCTCGGAGCTTGACCAGACCCAAGCAGCAAGTTCGCATCAACCAGAGAGCTCTCCACTCTCAAATCGAGCGGCAAAAGGGGAAAATTCTTCGATCCCACCCCCGGCCGTAACAGCACTGCCACGATTCAAGAGACATGTTATTTATGAACCGATAATCTCTGATGCTATCTGATAAGTCCGGATCAGGGAGCCTGGGCCCGGGGGCCGTCGTGACAAGCTTAGGCTAACAGGCATTGTGCGGTGTGTGTGTGTCTGTGTGTGTGTGTGTGGAGAGATAGCCCCGCCGGGACGGCGTCCAGGTCAGCCTCAGAACCAATGGACAGCACATGGTGTAGTCTTGGCGGTTTAAGAGAGTCCTTCTCAGGAGCTTGAGGTTGACTCGGTTTGCTGATCAAGCTGATCAAAAGGAGCTTGAGGTGTGTGAAGCTTGAGATAAAGAGGAAGGAGGAAGCGAGAACAGGGATGAGCTAGCTGGGGATTGGCACAAGTTCAGAGCAGAGACAGGGGTTAAACGAGGGATTTTCGAGCAAAGAATAAGCGAGCGGGGGGTAGGATCAGACGAGTTTCTCAACGAGAAGAAGGTTTAGCCGTGTATGTATGTGTTTGTGTGTGTGTGTGTGTGTGACACGGGCTGGGGGAGGCTGGATGGCTTGGAATTTGCTTCTCTTTTGACATTAGAGACAGGCTAAGAGTCAGGCAAGAAAGGGGGGGGTTTCGAATCCGATTCGATAAGGTGTAGAGGGAAAATCTTTCCTTTCATCTTGCCGGCAGCACCTCAGGAGCCCCAAATGGTAGGTCGGCCGGTGCACGTGTGCGGTTTGATGCGACCTCGTCAAATCTTTCCCCTGTCGTGGCCATACCGCGAGAACCTGCTTTTCCATTTCAGTCACATCAAGCGGGAGGGGCAACCCCACCCGGTCTGAGTGATTGCAACCTCCTCTCATGGCATGGCATGGCATGACCGCTCATCGGCCTCCGGGGCGGATGTAGGCTCCTGTTCATCCTCCGTGTCGTCTTCCCACGCGCGTGCGCTTGGACTCAGAGGTTGGAGGGGGGAAAGAAGAGACCGTGTTGCAGAGCTGGCTGACTCCCTTATCACTTTGTTTCTTGGCTCAGAAGCAATGTTTCTGCTCGACGATCATCCTTCTGTTTATATGTCATGACGCCATCCCGCTGCCATCAACAACGCAGGACAATGGGATCGAAGGACGTTCTCTAACATGCACAGCCCGACCAAGAGCTTCACCAGGGTCTGAAGCTGGAACCGAACTGCTCTATGCCGAGAACGAAACCAGTCATGTCAGCCACAAACCCCTCTCTCCTGCTGATCAGACCTGCTACTGTTACTGCATCGTAACCAGGAGCCAAACATTTGCGTATCCCGTTGTCGCATTGAGCCACGACATGACCTTTCGTATCTCTTTTTCCAGCCACTGACAGATTACAAGAGTCTTCGACTCAATGCTACTCTGCGCCGGAATGACATACACCCGACCTGCGACCCCTGCACAGCTGTCGGCAATTGATAACACACATGAACAAGCCTGTGTCCCTCTCACGGCTTCGTTGTCGAAGCTGTTGGAGAGCAAGCACAAAGTGAGTGTTGACGATGTGATGATTTCTTGCCTTCTCATGGAGACTTTCCCGCCAATTTTCGATCTTGCACATGAACAGATAAAACACTGGTTATCAGAGTGAAGTAGCCGTATTCACTTTAAAAATGCTGTCTATTTTTCTAGATAGGTTTGCTGTAAAAATTCTCGCCTGTTCTAAACGCATGAGTGACTGCAGGTGTCTTCCTCCGAGCGTAGAATCTTGCACGGTTTACTGGCTCTTGGGCGTTAGCTGTAAGAGCTTGAGATTCGTATTATTGAGGTCTTACACTTCTATCATCGGAATACAGAGCTCCTTCTATATCGGTAAAGTGTCAAGGCAATACGGATATATCGCTTCAAGGCGATAGAAGAAGGTGGTCGTACTGGTTATGGCGGAAATCCGACTTGAAGTGATGTTGACAAACATTGCAACTCTTGCATTGATAGACCCTTCTTGGTGGAATTTGTTTCTCCAGTATCATTGACCAGGCCCAGGTCAGCGGTATTACATACGACGACTCTTGATCCCGATTAAGTAGTCTAAAGTATCACTTTCTAGTGTATTAAGTTATCTGAACTTGAGCTCAGAGTCTTCCACTCCTTGCCCCCCTTCCCTTTTTTCCCCCCCCCTTTCTTTTTTCCTTTTCTTTTTTCTTCCACTTTTTTCTTTTAGGTTCCGAACCGAGGCTTCTCTACACGGAGTTGTGATATCATAAGGTGTCTATTCACACTGACGAATGATGTAAGCAGTTCAAACATGACCGGTGGCTGCCTTGCTGGATTCAGCGATTGGTTTAATAGCCCCTTTTGAAGAGTCCAGAGCCGAAAGACCTTGATTATCCAGAAAACGAGAAATGGTCTGTCGGACATGCGTACGGCAAGCGTTCCCTTCCGAGCCGCATTTCAACCACACGGAATGAGGCTCTTCAAGGCCATTGAGGCCACGGCTCTCCACGGGCAACGGGGAAACCCCGGGTTGTTCAAGAGACCAATCACTTTCCTACATGCTAGATAAGGAAGTATACCTAATCCCGTTTTTTGTGATACCTATGTATGCGGTAGCGTTGGAGTCAGCAGCGGTATGAACGAGGCATAGTGATCTAGGAGGGTAATGCAGTATGGTTCTAACAAAGGACCCCGTAGGTAGCACAGAACGTTGTGTCCAGTCAGGAATTTGAATGAGCCGCCAAGCTAATGAGCGACCAATCTTTCTCCGTTGCGAGGGCATTCTTGACGTAGAAGGCGTCCTTAGTGCTGACTGTGAGCCAACATGAAGTTTATTGCATGAGGAAATAATGATGACCTTCACTAGCGGGGCGCGAAGCAATAAAGGTATTAACCCTTAGAGTAAATGTGCTATATAAATCCGGACGCCACAAGCAGGCGCCCGTTGGTGACCTAGTGAGTGTCTTCATTTCCATACAGACTCAGCCTTGTTTGCGCAGTTGGGCTTGCTTGATGCAACTTTCCATCAGGCTTTCAGTCATTCAACAGGAAAAATCAGCAATCATTCAGGCGCCGAGGGAACGAGAGGGCACCATGGCAGGCAAAAATGGTCAAGTCATGGAGGCTGCAGCCAGTGGGAGCGATTCAACGACGACAACGCTCACACTGGTGACTGCGGCATTGGTGATGATTCCGCTGGCCCTCATGCTCAAGAAGCTCCTGTTTCCCGATTTCGACCCCCGAGAGCCTCCTGTTCTCCGACCAAGGCTGCCCTTTTTCGGACACATTGTCTCTCTGGTGAGAGAGTCGGGTAACTTCTACGCCCGACTGTAGTATGTTGTCGCGGATTCATTCACCCGAACAAGCGTAAGCGCAAGCCTCTCTCTAAGTCTGACTTTGATATCGCAGCAAGGAAACTCCGATGCCGATTTGTACGTTGCCCATGTTGCACGGAAAGATGTATGTGGCCAACTCGCCGTCTCTGATTGCGGCGGCGATGCGCCACGGCGACATCTCCTTTGAGCCCTTCCAGATCGAGGCCTCGGCGGTGGTTTTAGATCTTCCGCCGCACCACAAGGACAAGTTCCTGCAACCGGGAGTCCTCGGCCACGTGGAGAAGACAATGGCCTCCAATCTCAGACTGGACCCGCTGCAGAAGATGAATTTTGCCGCCTTGGAGCACCTGGCCGGGAAGTTGAACGACATCGATGCCACGAGTGCTCTTAGTATATCCGATGGCTATGCTTGGATCAAGGGCGTCTTGTCCATGGCCACCACTACGGCTCTGTATGGGAAGGGGAACATGTGGGACGCCGAGAAGCTCGAGGATCTATGGTGAGGATAGAGCCCTTCGGAAGCCGAGTTGGCCTGACTGACATGGGACACAGGACCTTCGAGAAAGGCATTGGGGCTCTGATGTTGAAGGTAGCGCCGAACCTGGTCGCCCCCAAGGCGATTGCGGCTCGGAAGAGGATGAACGAGCTTCTTCAGCCCTTCTACAAAGCGCGCGAGGACGAGAACCCGGACGTGGCCAAGATCCTCCAAGAGCGAGCCGGCTTTTTCCGCGAGCTGGGCATGCCGTCCGCGGACCTCCCTTTGATCGAGTTCTTGATCCCGTTCGCGGCGATCCTGAACACGGCGCCGAACCTGTTCTGGACATTTGCCGAGGTGTTTTCCGAGCCGGCCCACGTCGAGCGCATCCGGCGGGAAGTGCTACCGCTGGCGGTCGTGGCGGACACCGACAACCGAGGCCGAGTCGCGACGATCGACGCCAGGGCGCTGGAGGCCGGCTGCCCCTTTCTGCACGCCTGCTTCCGCGAGGTCCTGAGGCTGTACAGCGCGCAGATCGGCAACCGGCGGGTTATGGAGGACGCGACGCTCGAGGACGCGGACGGCCGGCAGTACCTGCTGAAGAAGGGCACCAACATGCAGTGGTCGGCGAGCGTCACCCACTTCATGCCCGAGGTCTGGGGCGACGACGCCGCCCTGTTCCGGCCGGAGCGCTTCTTCGACGTCGATTCCCGGCAGGAAAAGCGGAGGCGCGGCGCGCTGATCCCTTCGGCGGCGGCCGCCACCTGTGCCCCGGCCGGTACTTTGCCCAGACCGAGACGCTCGGCTTCGTCGGTGCCCTGGCTCTCGGCTTCGACGTGACCGGAGTCAAGGTTCCCGCGGCCGAGTTCGCGCCTCTCGGCGGAGCGACGAAACGGCCGGTAAGAGGGTCGGCGGTCGACGACATCAACATCTCGCGGCGAAAGGGCTGGGAGGACGTGACATGGGAGTTTGTGTGCTGATAAGTTATGGATTGCCGTGGTTTCAGAAGACCGATCTTGGGTCACGGACGATGAGATAATGTGGATTCGTGTTCAGGCGCTCCAGTTCATGGTTGAGTGTGGGCTTTGGCTCGAACACCAAGCAGATGAACGATACCTATCATTTTGCAACGAACGCTCGCTCCTCGATGAGAAAAAACAAATGAAGGAGACTAATCACAGACCAATGGGGGGCATATCCTGATCAACATACCCGACGCCATCTACCTGACTAGTGGGATATTGTTCACTCTGATGTTTCGAGTTGCGTCGCACAAAAAGAACGACATCCCCAACAGGTAGAAGACCACAACCATGAATCGGACACCCAGACTTCCCCGGTAACACACACTTGATGACCGGTAGGTAGGCTTACGAAGCCGGCCTGCACTCTCCCACTCTCTGTACCGATCCTCCCCCAGCCTTTGCTAGCTCTGAAAAAGGAACCTAGTACGGCAAATTATGTACAAACAGGCCTCATCGAGGGGTTACCACAAGTCCGCCGGTGGTCCCGAGTCCCCCGGATAAGGCCAAATCTCGTCGTACACGTCCTTGGCGCCCGGTGGGGAGACGATGGCGTAGCGGATTCCGTGCTCCGGGGCATTGGCCCAGCGGCGGAGGCCGTCAAAGTCGCGGCACCACATCTGCTGGCCGTCGCCGAGGTGTTTCTCCGCGCCTTGGACGAGGGAGATCGGGGTGGCGTCCGCCATGCACTGAGTGAGCTGCCGCATCGTGTTGATGCAGTGCATGACGTGGCCCGGCGTCCACTGCGAGGGCTCGCCGTGCAGAAGAAGACCGTAGTCCTCGGCCATGACGATCTGAGTCCGGGAGAAAGGAGGAAGGGATTAGCCCCGTTTTTTGGCATTACCCGGCAGGTCAATGAGTAGGCTAGACATACAATGCAGTGTATCTGATGAAAGGACCGAATGCCAAACACTTCGGTAGGCGTGGCTCCGTGATAGGACGGTAACACGTCCTCTCTGCCGTCCCAGTCTCGGTATCTGGTTTGCCGGCCATTGGCACGTATATTCGTCGCTGTCCGTCGTAAGAGAGAGAAAGAGTTATCAGTTTGATGGGCGGCCAACTTTCACCGGCGAGAGGCACAGGAGAAGGGGCGGCATGGATGCTTACAGTTCTGCAGCCACTTGAGGCGTCTGACGACGCGCCTGACGACGTCCGGGCTGTCGAACGTGTCCTCGTCCATCCAGTAAAGATCTCGGGAGTCGTTATAGAATGACTGCCACGAAGCCGGCTGGCCCACCTCTGCTTCGGGTCAGCCGCATACATTCTGTAGATGCTAGTAATGCAAAGGACCCGTCATGATTTGTAGGTACCCTGGGGAACGAAGCCCCATGGGTCGACACCCAATGGGATCACGGGCTGTGAGAGCCTCAGATAAGACTTGACATCGAGGGCGAGGGCGTAGGCGGCGAGAGTGCAGGCAGCGAGGGCGCAGCACAGTATGGTGCAGGCAAGGAGACGTCTTTCCAAGGTCCGTCATCCATGATGGCAATCACAATCACAACAGCATCCATCGCCGGCATCGTCGTCGTCGTCGTCAATGTAGGTTTCGTTACCATTGATGTCGTCGCGGGTTGCGATATTATTGAGAGGGTGATACAAGACCTTGGCCGAGGGAGCCGTTGTGAGTTTCTTCACCCAGATGAATTCCGCACCACTTAGGCTCGGGTCTCTCTTCTGACACCTCTCTGCTATACTCCTCATGGTGTGTGTGCCATGGATAATTAAGATGGTCCATGAGGGGTAGATACCCCCACTGCAGGCAGACGAGACTTTGCAGTAGGGTTTACAAGGCCTTTCAAACAAACACCGGAGCCGGAAGTCTCAGAGTCTAATCCACATACGACCATCCATGATGATCCAGCTGCCTCAACTTGAACTTGCTCCGCTCAAGGCAAGGAAGAAGGCAACGCAGCAGATGTCTAGCCGTCCGTCCTTTGATATGATGTACATGGCGTCCATGTCATCGAGTCGGAAGACAAGGAACCCAACAGGCTACATCGCAAAGCAGCATCCGTCCGGCACGTCACGTTACGTCACCTCAACTATTCTTTCACGTCCCTGGAGCATCGTTACATGCTATGCAAAACCCCCACTGTCACGACGTCGTCAACATGTCCAACCTGGCCCTCGTCTTCAGCTCGGTACCCTCCGGCCGCTTCCCCCAGCCGGAAAAAGACCTGGTGGTAAAAGAGCTACCGTTACCCGACGGGGAGGGCGTGCTGGTCCGCATCCAGCTGGCCTCTCTTGACCCCTTTCTGCGCTCGCAGCTCAGGGAACCCTCCTCCGCCTGGACCTACCAACCCGCGCTGCCCGTTGGCGAGCCACTGTGCACGAGCGCTGTAGGCACCGTCGTACGGTCCGACGCCGCCCATGTGCTCCCCTCGGCGAGACTGTGTGGCTCGCCAGGGTCCCCTTGGCGCGATATGTCCTCCTCGAGGTGTCGGTGGCCGCTAATCGGCGCCTGGTTGTGCCCATCGGGCGACTTGTCAAGGCGTACAGCCTCGACGCGGGTCATTGGCTGGGCGTTCTTGGTGTTGTATGTATAAAATCGTAGATGTGCCTTTCTGGAAAACCCGTGATGGAAATACGAAATTCCCCTTCCCGCTATTGGCACCATGGCACCAGCACTAGCTCTCAAGCCAAACATACATCCCCCTCATTAACCTCTCATGAGCCCTGGTGCTCTCTGGCTGTCGAGTTACTGAGCCCTTGCCCCTATGTACTTTCTATTCTTTCCTTGGCGTCTAACATTCACTACCATATACACACCTTGCGGGGCCCCTGGGCGAGAAGAATAGCACGCTAACCTAACATGCTCTGAACATCCAGCCGGGACTCACGGGGTTCGCCGGCCTCTATGAATGCGGCAGGCCCAAAGCTGGCGAGACTATCTTTGTCAGCTCGGCGGCGGGCACGGTCGGTCTCACGGTGGCCTACTTTAGCGTGAGAGACGGGCTCCGCGTCGTGGGGTCGGCCGGCTCGACCGACAAGGCCGACTGGCTCCGGAGAACTGGCCTATTCGACGATGCCTTTGTCTTCGGCCGCCAGGACAACCACGAGACGGACGAGGCGTCGTTGCGCCGCGCCGCCCCAGAAGGGCTCGACCTACACTTTGCCAGCGTTGGCGGTGCCCAGTTGCGCGCCGCGGCGGCCTGCATGAAGGTCCACGGGCGGATCGTCGTGTGCGATGCCATCGACGAGTACGGCGGCGGAGGCGGCGGCGGCGGCAGCAACAACACGGGAGGCGCGGACGACGAGCCCGGAGGCGCTGCGGCACCGGATGTTCGGTGGCTCTGGCAGCCCGTCGTCTACAAGAGGCTGACAATCAGTGGGTTCCTCGTCACCGACCTGGCCGGCAAGTACATGGCGAGCTTCCAGCAGCAGATGCACGAGGGCATAGAGAGGGACGGCGGCCTCCCAAGGATCGCGCCGCTGCACGTAGTCCACGGGCTGGACAAGGCGGCCGAGGCGTTTGGGGATCTTTTCCGCTGCGGCAAGGTCATGGGCAAGCTTCTGGTCCAGCCATCTGATTCTTGATGACTTGACTTTGGCACATGGGAATAGACGTGAGAACGGGCAGAGAGAGGGAAAATGAAAATGGGAATGAGAATGAGAATGAGGGCGAGAGTGAGAGTGAGAGTGAGAGTGAGAGTGAGAGTGAGAGTGAGAGTGAGAGTGAGAGTGAGAGTGAGAGTGAGTTTGAGAGTGGGAGTGAAAGTGAGCCGGGGGCTCTCGGCTTGACTACCACGTATCATTGTATCGTCTCTCATGATGTATTCCATTTGCAGATGATATTTTCTCTGTCTTTCCACAAAGAACGTTCCACTGCCTCTGGAACTCACTTTTCCAGTCTTGTTGCAGTCTTCCGGCCAACTCATCCATGTGTCGTTCCGCATGCTACGAGGATTCTGCGCAATGTAGACCAGCGTACATGCCGGCGGGCACGAACAAGACAATGGTGGCGCTGATGGTCATGGTCACAAGAAATCCCAAGGTAAAGAAGCTTAGCATCGTCGCCACTGACCTGTTGGTAGAAAGCCGACCGACTTCTTCCTTGCTGACGACGTTTCCGTTTCCATTCTCGTTGTCGTCCAGCCGGCTGTACGCAGGCGCATCGCCGGCCGCCGTCTCTTTCTGATCAACCGTCCGAATCGTTAGTAGCTGTTTTTGTCATTGACAGCGGCGAAAGCCAGGACATGTACAGACATACCAGTAGATACCTTTGTATGAAGTTTGCCATCTCTGATTTTCTGTCGTTTGTCGGACACCCGCCCGTGTAGCTATACCTTCGAGATGGGCCTCTGGGAATAGGAATCTGTACTCGACGCGCTTTGCCAAAAGACCGTGTATACATCATGCAACACGGATGGCCTGCCTCGCTCAAAAGCTGTCGTAGATAGACTGGAGGGCGTGAACGGTGTGTTGTTTCCCCACCAACTGATAAATGCTTTTCGTCCTTGTCTCCAAGCCGGCATACTCAGGGGGGCAGTAGTCAGGTGGTGTCAGGGCAACAGGCAGAAGGGAAACGGATATGTACGTTGGACCTCTATCTGTATCCCTCGACAAAACTCAATCGGAGACGAAGCTTTTCCCATAAGCGGCATGGGTCGAAAGTAAGCTGGACGTAGGAGGGTGGTCCTGGACGAAAGATTCACTGCCGTCACGTAGTTTGTTAACTAATAACGAATCAAGAGAAGGGAATCGGAGACCGTTGGGTCTCATCTAAGTTCAAACATTACGTCCCTCCAGCTGAGACTGACATAGACAGTCCCCAAACAAAACATCAAATCCACATACACACACACACACATAGAGAGAGAGAGGGAGAGAGAGAGAGACTGACACATCATCTGCTACCGTCCTCCTCTTGTCAGTTGAACGAATGAAGAGTTTCGAATCAACAGATTTTCCCGCCGACGTTCCCCTCGTCGTGGCCAGTACAAGCACATCCGCCGATGTATCAACCAACAAGCCGGTTGATGAGCGGCCTCGCACCAGCCTCTGGTGCATCCTGGCCTACTCCGCGCCCTCGATGCCGTCAGTAACAACACACGGCAAAGCCCGCCGGTGTGATGAAATGGATGGCTCATAGCTAAGAATGTCTGCAGTGTTCAAGCGTTCTTCACCATGTTCACCGTCTATCTGATAGTAAGTAGGTAGGAGAAAAGCGAAACGAGTTCCCATCGGTTGAAACCAGATGAAGCAAAGGACCGCAGGCTGACGTGCAATGCAAATGTTCCAGCCGTACCTCACATCCGAGCTCGGCTTCACCGTCTCCCAGGTCTCGTTAGTCCTGCTCGCCGGCCCGCTGTCCGGCTTGACGGCGGCCCCCGTCATGGGTGTCCTCAGCGACCGCTCCGGCCGCCGCCTCGGCCTTTTCACGACCGGCTGCGTCGCTATGGCCGCTTGCCAGATCGTCCTGGCATGGTCCCGCGACATCGTCGGCGGCGACCCGGCCGCGGCCAGATGGCTGAGCGCCGCCGCCGTCTACATGGGCTGCATCAGTGCGCGCGCTTCCATCGTCGGCCATCGCGCCATGGCCATTGACAACATCCCACCCCGGCAGCAGCCTGTCTTCAACCTGGCGAGCGGGCTCATGTCCGCCTCGGGCGCCATCGCCACGCTTGCCGTTGGTCTCGTTAGGCCTTCCTTCCGGGCCATCACCGCTATATGTGTCGTCTCCATCACACTTAGCATCTTTCCTTGTGGGCCGTCCGCAAGCCGCGTGGGGCGCATCGCCGACCCGCTGTCCGGGGAGAGAGTACCCGCTTCGGGGCGTTGTCGGCCGTCTTGTCGGTTCCACGGGCGGCGTGGGACGCGGCACGACATCTTCCCCCCAGAATCCGCCGCACATGCAAAATCCAGATCCTGTCCCAGTACGCGTGGTTCCCCGTCTCTCACTACTTGAGCAAATACCTCCAAGACAGCTGTACGTTGTTCACCACCCCCCCCCCCCCCCCCCCCCCCCCCCCCCCCCCCCCCCCCCCCCCCCTTGAAGAAAGCAAAGCACGCACCTTGTCCTCGATTCAGGATATTACGTGCTGCGCTCCGTTCCGCCCCACCGTACTCTTGGGCTAATCCAAGAGTAAACCAGATGTCGCCACACGTGGAGAAGGTTCCGAAGCCGTTGCGCCGGAAATCAGCGCGCGGGCCGGCGTCCGCGTCCTCCTGATCGCCGAGGTCGGCGCCGTTCTGCTGCAGATGACTGTCGTCCGCTTCTGGGACGCGTCGTCGACATCGGCGAGCCCTCTTCGTCGGTTCATGGACGAGGACATGGTTGCGCTGCGGCGAGTGTGGGCCCTGGCCTTTGCGGCGTTGGGCGTGTCGACGCTCGCCGCCGTAGTGTTCCGGGCTTCGTTCGCGGCGGCGTCCATCTGCGCCGTCAGCATCATGACCATCTCGCCCCTGAGTGTCTGGGTGCCCTTCACCATCATCTCGTACGAGGCAGCCCTGGTTCACGGAGAGAAGGATGGCGACCCGTCCACCCCCTGGGGGTCGTCGGCCACCTTCTTTTCTCTCCACGAGATGGCCATCACAGTCGGCCAGGGCCTGGCTGTCTTGATGAGCGGCGTCATAAGCTTCGAACTCGAGCACATGGTCACGGGAGCTAGGAACACGACAGCCTTTCTGTTTCCTCCCGCCGTCGTCGCTGCCATGGTCGCTGCCCTCCTGTGCTAAGCGTGTGCTGAGCGGCCGAGGAAACTTGAAGAGGACACGGTTAGGACTCTGATAGATGCCGTCCGTCGTCTAGACCTGGCCAAAATGGGCAAAAGATAGGAAATGATAGTGCCTTAAGGACTTCTCTCTTGAGAGGGCTATTCACGGAAAAAGTCATTTTTCGAGAATATTGTATATACGCTCTCTTCTAGAACACTCTATCCATGCTTAATCTAGGTAGCCTCTGGCCGCCCAGCCAATGAAGTAGAGTTACTGTTTGTTCTCAAACACATGTACTACTGTTCTGGTTGTAACTGTAAGTGACATGTGCATCCAGACTTACATACACCGTAGCCCCCCCCCCTACGACACTGCAATTTCCCCTCCAGCTCCATTTCACCAAGAAACACAGCTGAGCCCTTCCTCGTCACATGGATAGTTAGGCTTAACCTATGGTTGTATTTGTTTTTAGCTCGACATATCCTTTGTGAGCCACAGGGTACTCACCACCTGCCAGTTTGAAGGGTACGGTACAGCGTGGACGGTCAGCTTGTCCATGTCCGGCACCGGACTCTCGAGAATGATGTTGACCAGGTACGACGTGCAGTGAATGGTGTGGCTGTAGTTGAAGGGCGGATCGAAGCCCTTGGCCAGCCAGAGATGCGTCTGACGCAGCGTGTACATGCAGTGCACGACGTGCTCGCGCTTCGTCAGCCACAGCGTCGTCAGGACCCGGTTCGCCGGGTCGACCTCGACGGTGCCCTCGGCGTCGTAGAACCGGTGCCACGGCCCCGCCTCGAGGAACCCGCGGATCAGCTCCTGGTTGTCCGGGTCCTCGACTCGCTCGCGCCGGTACCAGTAGAAGCTGATAGGATCCCACTCGCACCCACGTTCATATGCCACCTCTGGCCTGGCGCCGTTTGGCGCACACAAATACCCGGACATGTCGAGCTGCAGACAACTCCTACCCCTCGAAGAGAAACCCCCCCTCAGTATCGTACTGCGCAGCGTGTTGTAGAGCGCTGCAAAGGCCGCGACGAGGGCCAGCAGTAAGATGCAAGTCGATGCCGTGTTTAGAACGGGCCGCCTTGGGCGGCTGCCGCATGCTGCTGCATTTACCGCCAGAGCCGAGAAGGCGTGGTGGTTGGGGTCATTTTGTTGCCAACGCCAACGCATGATGTTGATGATGTTGATGATGATGATTTCTCTACCGAGTTAAGCTGAAGAGGCCTATGCTACCGCTCTGTTGATAGTCTCTCTCTCTATCTTTCTCTTTCCCCCTAGCTTGGAATATTACACAACTGGACTTCTCAGCATCCCTTCCCTAGTTCATGTCCCTTGGCTCACGGCATGAGAGATAGTTTGGGGTTGGTCACTACCTGCACCGCCCAGAAAGTATCGCCAGCCAATTATTGAGTTAAAGTTCCGTGGAGGGGAGTCTGTTGAACTATTTCACGGAGCCGGCCGGAAAGCTTCTTGCTGGTCGGGGCTGCGCCGGGACACTCAGCTGTCGCCAGAGAGGACCTTGTCACTAGCAGCTCTGGTGGTTTGTCAGTTCTGCTCATGGACATGGCTGTGTACAGAGGGCTTACAGAGTACTGTGAGTACATCGTACAATTGGAAAGGGTCATGCGGATGTGCGGGTTGTTAGTTCTAAGTCGTTCGGGAACGAACATCTCCTGCAGCGTTACTTACCAAGGTAGATGCCTGTTGGAGTAACAGGTTATTGAATATGGCTCTCTCACCCTCACGCTCACACTCATGTTCTTGGGCACCTGTGTTAAGCAACACATAAAAATTCCAGAAAAATGTGGTTCTCGAAGCGCAACCAGCGGGACAACGTTGCCTATGTGAGCCTTTCCACGTCGCCGTCCTGCGAAGCGGCCGACACGTCGTGGGACGGCCACGAAGTAAGGCCAAAAAAGGGGCTTGGGGCCCGGTGTAGCCACCTCTGGATCATCGGGCTGTCTGTTTACTCTCTGGTTATGACAATACTTGTTTTGGTGACAGCCGAGGTCAATCTTTGGCTCGCGACGCCTCTCGGGAGCGATCCGAACGGCTTCGTCCCGGCCTCGGTGGGCTCGCCGCTGCGATGGAGGACGTTTGTGCGTAACGAAAGCAACCCATACCACATACCGGATGACGTGTTTGCGGACGAGATCAGGAAGAGAGAGACGATCAAGAGGCTGTTACAGACGCACTGTAAGTGTTGGACAGTCTCTGTCCTCGCCCGGAAACGATGAAGAGAGGGCCTCGGACTAAAAGAGAGACAGCTTCGGCGGTCCGCATCAATGGCCGCCATGCCCGCTGGGTCCACGACGACGGCAGCGCATCCAACTTGCAGGCAACGTTCACGCCGCCCAGCATGGACCAAGACCAAGTTTACTTCATACGGGGCCTGTACCAGATGCGCTGCATAGTAAGCTGATCTTGTTTGTCTGTTTGTTTGCGTCGCGTCTCCCCTTCCTATCCCCTTTTCTCTGACCATATCTCTTCGCAGATTGTCCTACTGGAAGCCTACGGGACCAGCATCCGCCGGCCGACAAATATCACTGACGCCACATCCAATATTAACGCCAACGGAGACGGGGAAAAAGAAGACGAGGAAGATGAAGACAGCTGGCACTGGCCGCCCGAGCACGTGGCCTACTGCCTCAACGTCTTGGCGGACGCTGTGCACTGCACGGCGGACGCGACGCCACTCTCCTTCGTCAGCGGCTTCGGGTCCGGACACCTGACGGACGGGCAGCAGGCGTGGTGCCGGGACTGGGATGCCCTGCGCGCGTGGGCCGCGGACAGGCAGCGCGCCGTGGACACGGCCCGAGGAGGCACCGCGCTCAAGGGGGCGTTTGGCAGGTTGTGGCGGACCGTTTTGCCTTGAGATGCCTAGGTTTTTCTCTCTTCTTTATAATATTGTAACATGAAGAGGTAGGCTGTTGTGCTTCGTGTGGAACTCTGTCCTGAGAACGGTGAAAGTAAGTGAACATGGGCTCTTGAGGCGTAGGCATTTTGTTTTGGTCACACACATGTGGACAGGGTACCGTAGATTATAGAAGGCTGAATAGAGACCCATTCTTATTGTCAGTAGAGTCCTACCAGCTCTGTCTGGCTTTCATGAACCGACTGCCGATTCCTCTCATAGTTCCCGAGCACAAACAACATGACGTGTTGGGTGTTTGGCTGCAGTACACAAAGGGCGTTCCTGAAGACGATACAGACCTTTTTTTGCTTTGATAAATAGACTTAAATGCAACAAGTAGCAATATATGCGTGGCACTCATGACAGCCCATCACATCATGGTTGGAGTGTGGACATAATGTGACAGTAGCTGGGTGCGTTTGGGGACCAAATCCTATGCATGGAAGCACTGTTATGCTTCGAAGTTCCCAGGTTCCTACCCCCCCCCCCCTTCGTTGTGACCTCGGTACAGAAAGCCATAGGCACCCGAGCCGTCATCATTGAGAAACTTCCGGCCCGCCGGAGTATAAGTGGAGGGAAAAGTATATGCAGCAAACCCAATCGATAGCCGTTTGAGGGGAACCGACCGCGGCATGTTGAATCGGAGGTGCTACTCCTTTTGACAAACGACATGGAGCTTCAGTGGCCGCATTGTTGTTATTATAGAGTAGCAGTAAGTAGAAGAGTTATTTGTCAGTACCTATGCTGGCTAAAAGCTATACTACAACTTCAAGATGTGATACAGTGACGTTGAGAACTATATAGCAGACCACAACCACGCATCTCTATGTTACCACAGTCTCATCAAATTGTCACAGTCTTACCCACCTACTACAGGATCTCATTTAGTTGTAGCAACGTATCAGTTCACAACATTCAATATTCCTTTACTTTCATTAAGTACCGTGGGAACCACATTCCTCCAGTCTAAGCCATGGCGCCGGCCGCACTTCCGGAGCCCATCGCCGTCTGTGGCATGGCCGCCCGCCTGCCCGGCGAGGTGCGCACCCCAGCCGAGTTCTGGGACATGCTGATGGCTAAACGTAACGGACTGGTTGACTGGCCGCGCAGCAGCAGCACCAGCGATGGAGGAAAGTCTCCCGCGGCCGCAGGGCGGTTTGACGCCGCCGGCTTCCAGAGCGGCACGCCCGCCAAGAACACACTCCAAGCGCCGCAGGCATACCTACTCAATCAAGTGTCGATGGGCGACTTTGACCCCAGCTTCTTCCCTGTCGGTGCCAAAGAGGCCTCCCGCATGGACCCGATGCAGCGGCAGCTCCTCGAGGTCGCCTACGAGTGCGCCGAGACCGCCGGCGCCGCCCAGAACTTGTTCAGCGGCAATGCCAGCGGCAATGCCAGCGCCAGCACCAGCACTAACACCAGGACCGGCACCGGCACGAGAGAGTCGCCTTTAGACTTGGCCTCACGCAAGGACGTCGGCGTCTTTGTCGGCGTCTTCGGCGAGGACTGGCTCCAGGAGAATGTCATGGACAGCCAGCTGGCCGGCCTGTACCTAAGATTAGACTAGGAACGGCTTGCTGTAGCAAAAGTCACCAACCTGCTTTCCTTTGTAGGGCAATACGCAGTCAGGAGAAGAAGGTTTCGGAGCGCGTCGAGATTTCCTAGTCAAGCAGGGGGGGCATGGAGTGGGACGACGAATGGGTTCGGCCAATGGTTGTACACGGACGGCCGTATCTCGACGCGTTCCGACGGAGAATACTTGAGTAGGGTCTTTCAACAAGCTATACTATAGCTTGTCGTGTTCGTAAGGATAGGGACGCGATGCAGAACGCGTACACCCATCGGTCTAGTGCCCGGCTGTGCTCCGGCCAGCCGTTGGTCGCGCCTTCGCACTTGTCTTTACCGCCAGACCCCCCGCTGTTGTGTCAGTAAGCAAGCCCTCCCCCTGTGCTGGGGTTGTCGCTATTGCTGCTATCGCTGGCTACGTTATAATCGCTTTCACTGCCACACCTACTATCTAGTCTGCCCTAAGGTAAAGGGAAAGTAGTATCGTTTTGCTATAGGCGTCTATATTAACAGGTACCTTAGCCTATACGCCTTACGTCCTCTAACATAGCGTCTCCTGTAGCAACAAGCGCCTCAGCCACAGCATCTAGGGCTATCCACTACTTATTAGTAAAGCAGACGCTACGCTATAGCCACGCCTCTACTTGCCCTAGTGTTACGACCCAACAAGATACAGGCAGGCGCTAGCCCCACCAGGCCCTGGAAGCACGGGCGGCACAGCCTTTGTATGACAACAGAAGAACGCTCCCCACGGATCGGAAGAACCATGGACAAGTCACGTGACGATAAGATAAGATTAGATCTGTACGCTGGGAATACGGGAGCCATATGCTTGGTATACGGGCTCCGTCTGTAAGAGATATGGAAGCTGTACTAACAGGATACAGACGGCAGAATCAGGACTTATATATAGGATAGCTTAGACAGGCTCTAAGACAAGACTTCTTTAGCTCTTTAGTAATCAACTTCATAATTCACTCTCTTATAAGTGACTCTTAGATTATCCTTCTGTTATAAAGCTACCAAGCTACCTACGCCTAGATATACCTAACTAATCACTAGATACTAATAGACTAACAAGATTACCTATAAGACTTACCTTACTGTTACTAAGTATTAACCTTAGCTACCTATTAGCAGAAACTACTACTATTAGATATCTAACTATAATACTTTGATTGCTTTTGTTTAGTAAGTTAACCTTAATACTTACTAAAATAGTAAAATATGTTATTTAAAACTACCTTTATATTATTTAACTTTAGTTTAAAAGGAAAAATACTTACTATACTATAAAACCTAGATAATAAAATAAAGGACACTAAGAACTTTAATAACAAGTTAAGCTTTACTAAAAAGGTTTATATTAACTTATAATTATATATCTAAAAGAATAATACTAATATTACTTAAATGTAAAATATGTTTAATAAAGCTATAGCTAAACTAGAAGCTAAAACTAACAAAGCTAATACGCTTACTACAAAAGTCAAGACCTTATAAGGGGCTACTAACATCATCTTAACCCTATTAGATAGACAGGAGAAACTCAAGCTTAACTCCTCTACTATTTATAATAAAACCTCTAGAACATTAAAAGGATTCCTGATTCAGATCAGAACCTACTAAATATTTTATATAAGTAACTTCTATATAGAGACAAAAAGAATCATCTATGCAGATACTTTCTTTAGAGGGCAAGTACTCTCTTGGTTTAAACCTTATCTGGAAGAATACTTAGACAATGAAACGCTGGAATACTATAACCTAGAAACTTAGTAGATCTTTAGAAGCTTTATAGGATTTAAGTACACCTTGAAATCCTTGTTCTAAGACCTTAATAAAAAACGATAAGCTAAATAGGACTTAGTAAACCTTAAATAAACTAAGTCAGCTACTAATTACGCTACAAAGTTCTAAAGAATCTGTGTATAATTTAACTATACTAATAACATTAAGATCTTTATGTTCTACTAAGGACTTAAGAAAAACATAAAAGATAAGCTATTTAAGCTTAATTAACCTAATAATTTCTTATAATACATAGAAATTATAGTTAGAATTAATACTAGGCTATATAAGTAATAAAAAGAAAAGGGAGAAATATGTTACCTTTAGCTAAATACTAGTAAGAAGTATATACTATAAGGACCTAGGAACTTGTAACTTAACTTATACTAGTAGAATAACTAGTAGTATAGTAAGCTAAGTACCTTTTATAGATAATATAGTAAACCTATAAATGTTAGCGCTATAGTTAAAAAGACTTATTAGAACTATTAAGACCTAAAAGACTTTAAATGCTATAACTATAATAAGCCTAGACATATAGCTAGAGACTATAGATAGCCTAAATGACTTTAGAATAAGCTTGTACTTGAAGGCACTAAGAGAACTAATGTGGCTAGAAGAGAAACCCCTTATAAATAATAGAACTAGACTACCTACTTTAACGATAATTACTGTGTTTATTAGGAATAAAAGGAATAAGTAGAATGGTACCTTAAACTGCTAAAGAATAAAACCGTAGTAATCTCTTAATAAACCTAGAAAGGAGGCCATTTAGACCAAACTATAGTCTAATAACTAGAACAATAAAATCAGTAGCTAATCACTAGACTTATTTAAGCTAAGGAAGCTGTATAAAGTAAAGAAGATAACCCTTATATGCCTGATATTATGAAGGCTATTGAAGAATGACTTTAACTGTGTATATAAGCCTAAGGGAACTTCTAAAAATAATAGGTACTTAAGGAAGACTTTAAGAACGCCTTTAAGGAGAAGAGAAATACTAAACCTAAAAAACCTACTAAGATAATAGCTATAGGCAAAAATAGCTATAATAACCTAGATTTTCACCTCTTTAACTTAGGTTTAGGGAACCTATACCCTAGGAATTAATTAAGGTATATAGTAAGAAAATAAGCTCTAAAGAAGACTATAAGGAGTTACTTAATAAGTTTAAACCTCTAAGTAAGCTTAAGAGAAAGGCTATTAAGTAACTTATAAGTCTTAAGAGCCTAAGCTAAGCAACTATGTAATTAATGCCTTATAAGGATATAAAAAAGAAAACTAAATCTATAATATTTATACTACTCTTAAAAGAAGAAGAGTCTTTTAGTAAGTTAGACCTTAAATAAGATGTTCTTAATGAATAGGAATCATAACGCTATAGAGCTAGCTAAAGCCTAATCTGTTATAACCTAGATAAATTACTAGTTATATAAATATATATTAACTTTAGTAAAGACCTAATGGTTAAAAAGATCTACCCTACTAAGAGTAACTACCCTAAGTACTAACTATAATACAAAAAAGACAAAGATAATTAAGAAGTTTAGTTTTATAAAATAGATAATACTAAGATTAATAAAAAACCAGTAGTATTTATCTTGGAGGGACTTATATTTAGAGACTATAAGTACCTTAACTAGAAATACATACGCTATACTAAAGTGTTCTAGGCTAACTATATTTATAATAAGTATTAGTTTTACCTTTAAGATAAGGAACTTAATAACTTTTTTCTTTAATAAAGGAAGTAATAACTAATTCTTATAATCTACTTTTATTATTAACTTAGTATATAGACAGTAAAAGAATTTAAAGTAAACTAGCTATATATATAACCTAGCCCTAAGTATCTAGTATTATACTATAATAGACTTATTAAGTATTAGTCTAAATATATATATAATAAATATATAATATACTATATAAGTAAAGCTAAAGCTTAGAGAACCTAGATTAGAGAACAAATACCCCTTGAAATTAAACCTGTAGATATAAAGGGAAAACAAACCTATTAATACTACTTAAAAAACTAGGGACGCTAACTGCACCAGGACAGTAGATAGCGACACTAAAGAAGTCCCTATGTTTAGCTATAACGACAGACGCCTTACACCTTATTCTAAGCGTTTATATTAAAGGATAGTCTACTTAGGTTATAATTAATAGTAGAGCCTAAGTAAACTTAATATTACCTTGGCTAGTAAATTAATAAGGAATCTAATAGAGATTTAAGGACGAATCCTATACCCTATAAAACGTGGAAGGAGAAATAGTTAAGTATAGTAAAGGCACTATTAACAAAGAAACTGTGTAACTCTTTATGGTTACCTATAACCGTTAAGAATACCTGATCTTTGATATAGTATAAATTAGAGACATAGATGTTATCCTTGGAATCTTATAGCTATAACAATATAACTTAAGTATAGATTAGAGAACAGGCTAACTTTAATAGAGAGATTTAACTACAAGGTAGTATTATAAGCTATAACCCTTAAGTGAATTAAAGCGATATAGATACATTGTATATATTAAAAGAATTAAACTTATAAAAGATAAATAATTTAAATAGTTTATTAACAATTAGTAGGAAGAAGAATGCCTCTCCCTGATTCTAGAATAATACTACAAGTACACCAAGCTTTTTACTAAAGAATTAAAAACTAGCTTACTTAAATATAGCTTATATAACTATAAAATTCTGCTTAAAGAAGAAGTATACTTAAAGTTTTATAAGATTTATAGACTTAGTGAAATAGAATATAAGGTACTTAATAAATATTTTAAAAAAAACCTATGTAAAGGTTATATTTAACTATTAATATCTTCTATAAGATATTTTATTTTGTTTATACTAAAGAAGAATAGTAAACTATGATTTTATGTTAACTACTAATAACTTAATAATATTACTATTAAGAACTACTATTTGTTACCTTTTATTTTAGAACTATAAGACTAGTTATACTATACTAAATGGTTTATAGCTATTAATCTTAAAGGAGCTTATAACCTAATTAGAATAAAGAAAGGTAAAGAATAGAAAACGTGTTTTTATACTTAAAAAAGTAACTTTAAATACTTAGTTATGCCTTTTAGACTTACTAACGCCTCTACTACCTTCTAGATAATAATTAACTATATCCTAAGAGAATTCCTAGATATGTTCATTATTATTTACTTAAACAATATACTTATTTATTTTTA